AAATAAACCTGCCTTCGAGGTTTCCCGGCTCTCCGGGAATGAATGTTACAAAGGTATCTCCTGCGGGTGTGTTTCCAGGGTCAAAGTGCATCCCTCCCGGCCTTCCACAGTGCCCCCTGGCCAAAGGAGCCGTACAGCACCTCGGAAAGGCCAGCGACCGCGTTCTCCCGATCTCCTGCTGCAGAGGGATGCGTTGGGCTTTCTCCTTTTCGATACCCTAAGGCTGGAAAGTCTCCCTTTCCTTCCTCTGCGCCGCTGGCCCACTTAGCGTAGCAGCCGAGAGCATTGCTGGAGCGAAAGGAGGCACCGTCGACGGGCAGCCTTTTACCGTGTCTGTAAAGGACCCGGAGCCCAGCCGAGTGCATCGCTTCGTTTGCCGAGCTGCACCAAGTTCCTACTGACGCGATCCGCAGCGGGATCTCCGGAGCTGGCCCTTGGCCTCGCGAGGCTCGCGCCGTGGCTGCCACTCGTGCGGCGGGGAAAGGCGAAGCTGCTGTTCGCCCCGGGGGAGCTTGTGCCGTCGTCTGAACCCCGGCTGCTGGCAACGGTGCACATCGCCACTCGTCGGGCCTTTGCTCGACGCCGTCGCGCGGCGCTCTCCTACCTGTGTTGGGGGATGATATGCCTGCCCAGAGCCCAGGCGGAGGGAAGCCTTGCGCTGGGGGATTTTAGGAGACTGGCTGCTGGCGTTTCGGTACCCGTTGTCTCGTGCCTGCCTAGGCAGGGTGCAGCTGAGGCAGTGGCGATCTGTTGGCGCGTAGCTCACGTGCTGGTGCTGGGATGGGGGAGAGGAAAGGTAAGCGTCTTGAAACCCAAGTCGTTTTAGTACCCAGAAATGTACAGAGCAGGAAAATACATTAAAAGCTTCTTGGGGGGGTCAAGGCAGCACGGTCCTAAAGCGGAATGTGTTTGCAGTGTGAAGAAAGTGGCTGGCACAAGTTGTCTCTGTGAGGAACAGGGGAAAGCCCCTTTCTGTACCGGCAGGTCTGGGTCAACCCCAGCTGCTGTAGAGGTGGACGGCTGTAGAAGATGGTGGCTCTGGTGAACCTGGTCAAGGCAGTACGAAAGTGGGTTAGACCACGTGGCGATGTAGACGTGACATGTTAGGGCAAACACCGACAGTACCAAACCCTCCGGTAAAAAACAAACTCTTTGCTACCTGTGGCTGGAAGTTCAGTGGCAGCCCGGAGAAGTTGCCTCACGTGTTTGCCAACGCAAGTGCTCGAGAAGCTGAGCGTTGAGTCAGGTCAGGGAACTGATCTGGCTGAGGAATCACTGTTATTTGGGAGGATAGCTTGCAAATCTACTTTGCAACTCCCGTACCCCTCTGCCGCATTAACGCTGGGGTGGGAGGTGCAAGTGTGAGGGGCAGTGTTGCAGAGGAAAGCTTCATTAGGAAGCCTCACCTCGGGCAACTCAAGTTAGGATCCCCGAGAGCCAGGGAGCAGGCAGGATTTTAACAGGGGTCAGCATGGAGATTACGTGGGCTTAATTCTCTTCAGCTGTGTGGGAGCTGGTAGGTGAAGGCAACAGCAGCTTGTCCTGCCATCCTCAGCTCGGCCTGTGTTGGAACTACGGTTGTCTTGGCGCTATTGGGGTTTTAGTGCAAGGAGGATTTGTCTAGAGATAATTATTAGAAAATACTCATTCTCAAAGAACTTCATTTCAGGAAACTTGTTTTCATCGGCTGTATAGCGGTATTTCAGAAGAGACAGTAATTTCTTGACTTAGTCCAAGGGAACTTCCATGTGTAGCTAAGTCATCGCTAGCCTGAGTAAAAGCATGCTTTCACTACAGGGAAAGCATCTTCTGCTTTGCTTTTTCTGGAGCCTGGAAGAGACTGGTTTGCAGAGTAGCACCCTCTCCTTTTGCAAAACGATGAGAGGTTTTGTCTTAATGAACAAAAAACCCCCTTGCTTTTAATTCACCACGTTAGTTTCATTGAAAATCTCTCCGAGGGCTTGTTGTTGTAGGTGAACACGTTTGGCACCTTTCGTGTTCGCATTCTTAGAGCACGTTTTGTTTTGTGAGGTGAAGGAGCTTTAATATCGCACGACGAGCTTCTCCAAGCAAAATGCTGTGTTGATATTCTGATTTCGTTCTAAACTAGTTTTCTTTGGAGTTAATTAGAATTGGCTGGGCACCTATTTAGCTAAATCAAAATAAGACTGTGGTTTCATATACACTTCCTTTGGCAGGCGTAGCAGATTAAGCAGATTCTGTGCCAGGCTGTGCCCTCTCTCCCTCTTGGTGAACCTGATCTAGGAGCTAGTATGGGTTAAAACCAGTCCAGCCAGGGGGGAGGGAAAAAAAAAAAAAAAAGTTTTTAAACAGAGATCAACTCCCTGGTGAAGTTTACTGGAACACCGCACAGTTTCAGTGACATGGTTGAAGGGGTGAGGGGAGAGAAGGGCTTCAACAGTTTCTTCAACAGCTTCTTCTACTCGAAGACAAGCATGTGAAACCATGCCCTAGTTGTGTTCTCCAAGGGCTTCCTACTAGTTTAATTACATCCGTTTAAAGTCGCTTCAAGCTGATCAACTCCCTGGTGAAGTTTACTGGAACACCGCACAGTTTCAGTGACATGGTTGAAGGGGTGAGGGGAGAGAAGGGCTTCAACAGTTTCTTCAACAGCTTCTTCTACTCGAAGACAAGCATGTGAAACCATGCCCTAGTTGTGTTCTCCAAGGGCTTCCTACTAGTTTAATTACATCCGTTTAAAGTCGCTTCAAGCTGCGCCAGTGTAGATGAGAGATTTGCTTGGTTTCCTTGTGTCGACTTGACTAAAAGTGTGTTTTGACCCAGGGAGGCTGCAGTTGCTCTTTCTGGTTCGGCGTTGCATCGGGAGGCTGCTCATCCCTCTATTTCTCAATAAACTTCCTGGTCCGCCTTCTTAAGGATGCTGTTCTTTCACTGTTCGCTCTGGTTTGTGCTTGAGACCACATCTGTTGTTTTTCCCCCGTTTTATTCCTTCTCTTAGTTGAAATCTCGATTCTTTTTCTCTTCTGTTCTTCTTCGTTCCCTGTGAAATGCCTGTCTTTGGCACGTGTCCCACATCATCCGTAGAGGATAGAGGCCAAGAATTCATGAAACAGTGTCTATCTCTGTTGCTATGTCCTCCCGGCTCTCTTCTCATGGCTGTCGTGCCTCCTCTGTTGACCAGCTCTCACTTGAGTACTCAAAACGTGCTGTTTCTCCCAGCTCCTCACACCACCCTGTTATCACTTCTCCCTTGCCAGACCTATTCTCCGGTCACACCTGATCTGTGCTTTGAGGCTTCAGCTCGTCTCCAACTTCTGTTCCACGTTGCGCAGCCGTACGTGTCCCCTTCCCCCGTTGCACAGAATGTCCCTTTTGATTTCTCCCAAAACATCTGTCCTGCCACTGTGCTCAGGGGCAGAACCTTTCTCCTCCCCTTCTTTCAGTTTAGCCTAAGATGGTGAAATCCCCGCAGATTGTTTGTTCCCCTATTTCCTTTATGTTGTATTTCTCTCCAAGCACCAAAAGACTCCTCCCCTTCCTGCTCCAAGCCACCTCTCATTCTCTTTGGGTATGACCCTGCTCTCTGTTTTAGCGTCTGCCTGGCTCCCCCTTCATTATATAGTATTTCTTCCATCTTACAGTGTGTGTCTTTTAGCAGGTTTCCCCCTCTTCTCCTGACCTCTGATTTCCGTAGTCTGTTTGCTCACTTGTGCCCTCGTACGTGCAGATGGGTCTGTCGCTTCTTTTTTGCAAACAAGCTGCCTTGCCCCGATTTCTCCTACGTGCCTGGCCCTTCTTTTCTGTCTGGAGGATCCCCACTGGCATGTTTGGGCTGAGGTGAGGATACCCAGCAGCAGCTGCGTTCGGAGGAGTCATTCAATTCCACGGCTCGATCCCTTGAGCTGCTGGCTGGTAGATCCCTGTGCGGCTCGTTTCAGCATAAACGGATGGTGCAAGCTGCTTCTTGTCCTGTTCAGAGCTTGTGTCGCCAGGAGTTTGTCAGGGAAAAGAAAACTGACAGAGATTTGGGATCACGTGTCGCTTTCAGCTTCTTCCCACTCTCACCCGCTGCACCGAGAGCGTTGCTGTGGCTCTGTGCCTGCTTTACCTTCGGGTGTTTAGTATTTCTCTGAACCAAGAACCTCTTTGGCAGCATCTCTATGGCTTTTGCAGTCAGTCCTACCTGGTTTGACCGAGTCCACTTGTTAGCACAGTAGATCCTCTCTTCCTTCATTGCTTTTTCCCTGATACGACTTGAGCAGCAAAGCTGCCTTAATGCTTGAACACCCAGCGCTGCACGATTGGCTGCAACGTTCTCCCTCAAAAGCTCCACCCAGCCGACGGTGCGTCTTGGATGCTCACGAATCTCTGGATTTCCTCATGTTTTCCACCCGTAACCCCACTGAATACCAGCACCTTCCTGACAGAGTGAGGGGATAATCACTTGACGGCACGTCTGGCAGCACTGTTGCAAACCTCTGCTCCCCTCCAGGGTCCCCCAGCTGCCTCCTTGTTTGAAGCTTTCCCCTTTGAACCCACCATGGGCTGGTTTATGAAAGTCCTATGAAGCCTTGGGGATGTCAGCATTTTAACAGACCATCATCTTGGGTAAAGCTCTGACTTGCGGCTTGCTACCTGGTGCTGGAGGTCCCTTTGGAGGGAGAAGAAAAGTGGACGAATCTTTCAAGGGATGTGTGTGTGTGTGCATGAAGACACCCATGTGAAACTCTCAGGGTAGCCAGAGGCTTTTTGGCAATAAAGTTGTTTAATATGAGGATGAGCAGACTGTGGCTTCTGTCCCAAGGCGCTGCTGATTTCTTCTAGCCCTCTTCCAGACAGACGTGTAGCATCTCGGGCGTTGTACCCCGTCTGCCTGGCAGCGAAGCTGTGGATGACTCTCTCTGAAGTGTGGTTGAATGCAAGCGTCCCGGGGAGAGTTACCAAACCTCTGTTTTTCTTTTGTAGGCAGAGCGGCCCCTCGAGCCCCAGCAGGTCCCGGTCAGTGACGAGCAGCTGTCATGATCTCTACAGCACCTCTCTATAGTGGGGTGCACAACTGGACCAGCACAGAGCGGATTCGCATGTGTGGCCTCAACGAGGAGAGGTGAGGTGCGTGGGTGGCGTGGTAGGGGAAGGAGGAAGAGAGCGGAGGAAGTGAGTTAGGGATCTGGAGAGGCTACGGGAAGGGAGCTGGTGCTGGCTCAGCCCGTTCTTACTAGGGTGTAAAATGGGCTGTGGTGCGAAAGAGCCGCAGGGAGGGGATGGATGTGTGGTCAAATGGTGGCATTCTGTGATGGTCCCCGCATCCCGTGCGCCAGTGAGGAGGGCCCACAAGCAGAGTGCGCTGGAGGTCCCTGCAGAGGAACCGTTGGCTGTGTGTAGCTGTATTGCCTCCACAGTGTTGGTGGGTGACAAGGCCGAGTTGCCTGCCTGTGCTATTGGCTTCACCAGACCTGTGCCCTTAACTGCCAGGGGAGGGAAAGAGCTTGACCCACTGCAAGCCAAGCCGCTAAGAAGAGCTTTCAGTGACCCGGGAGGGTTAGCACAGACCAAATGATCAGATGGGAGAGTTGTGACATGCCACCAAATAGGAGATTAGGGAGGATTAGTGGCTGGGAGGCAGAATCGATCAAAATGAGTTCCTGGCCTGCCCCATGGCTTTGCATCGCCTTTTTATTCCCACAGCTCTGGGGTCTTGTTCTCGAAACTGATCAGTTTGTGGCTTCCTTGAGGCTACTGTGTCTGCTCAGCGCATTTGCCGTAGCTGGAGCCAGAAAACTTTTATGGGCTCCAAGGCAGCGCGTGCCTGTCATTCCTCGCTGCGGGTGTTGAGGCTTTCGGTGGTGAGTCCTCCGAGGGCCAGTCAGAAGAGCGGTGGGACAGGGAAGAGTTCAGACTCTCGCTCGGGGCAGAAACACGGGCAGAGATCATCTTCAGCCCTCAGCAGCCGCTTGGCCCGCTGTGTGTCCCTCAGATAAGAGCTGGGGATGGCGTTGCCCTCTGCCTCTCCTAAACCACTCGGAGCTACTCCTAGTTTACAATAAACATTAAAGTTTGGGGCGTCTCAGCAAGGCAGGCAAACCGGGCTGGCTGCAGCCGAGCGCTCTCCCTTGGCTGCTGGCCCCGTTTAGGGCCGGCCAGGAGGCGGCCGGCACGGGGCGGGCGGGCTGTCC